CTCGTTTCCCTTTTTCCCCACATTGTGTGTGTGTGTGCACATCAGTATCTTGGTGTCCTGACTGCACTTGAGGCAGGGTGGATATTACTAGGATTTCCAGGAGAGTTGCGGAAACAAATGGACAAAGCGAGCAGGTTGTATATAGACACCAAGGGAGCAGAAACACAGACCATGGACACTGGGAGAACACACTGCACCGGAATAGGGAAAGCACACTCACCAGGAGCATGCATGGGGATTTATCTGCATATTGTTTTTGCTTCACAGTAAAAAAACGCACTGTGTTCTACGTAGAAAGTCCTGCATTTGGGTACAGCCTTCGCACACCTGACAGAAAATTCATATGTGATAAAGTTATTGATAAATCATGTTAAAGTACGATATAGAAAAGAAGAAAATGCAGTGATTTTGAATTTTGTTTTAAATCATGTTGAAGTAAGGTCACATGCAGAGCGATGATATGTGGCTGGGCCTCTCGTGATTCGATGTCACTGCGGGTAAAGCCAGATGTTATCTCAGAAGATGTAATGCTGTGAAAGAGGTGGGACATTAGGACCAGGTATAAAAGTTTTGTGCAGAAGAAATGACTTGTTCTTCTTTTCATCTCCTGCCAGGCAAGCAGAACAAAAGACTAGCTTTGATATGTCCGTTCTCTCTTTACCATCTATTGTCTCAAAATAGCATTAGCTGTTAATCAGATGAGTATAATTCAAGTGATTTGATTATGTGATTTTTATAATTTGATTTTAATTTGCTTTGCTCCTGCTAAACATAATAAAATATGCTGAATGATCAAAAAGTGTAAATTGAGAACTTTTCCTTTTTAACCCCCTCATGAATCAGCAAAGATATAAACTTCTCATTGTTATTACAGCACAGCCTAAAGACTTAACAGGTACCATATAAGTTACCAAGTGCAGAGGGACAGTTTGGCAAGCACACCTTCAGAGGCAGCAGGATCGACATCTGGAGGGCTGAGAAACAATTAGAGCTGGGTGAGTCTCCTTTCTGGCTCCAGCCAAGCTTTGCATTGCCCACTGGGTAACACTCACAGAGACTATGATTTTTTAAATAGAAAACCAGTTCCAGTTCCTGTTTTGGGGCTCCCTATTTGAAGATCCATAACATAATAGTTAAGCTGACAATTCAAATCACAATGACAGTGGCAGAATTCTATATAGTTATTTTAAAATACACTTCCATGCATTGAGGTTTCAGAGGACTGATAATTTGTGTACACATTTGAGTTTTGCTGCCACACGAGGCCTGTAGAGTCTCCCGCCTTTGAGCCAGACACACCTGAGGATAATCACTCACCTCTTGCTGAGCTGTTGGAATAGTTAAAGTGTTTTTGTCGGCCGGTGGATGTGACTGTACTCACCGTGGCATCTCTTGTTTCCAGGTGGATTGCGGAAACGTGTGGAGGGAGCAGCACACTGTTGTACATAGGCACAGAGGAGGACAAAACTTCACCACATATCAAGGAGTAGAATCACAGCACGGGGATTGGGAACCCACGCAATGTTTCATAGTTTCTTTTCATTGTAAATAAGCACATTTCATTCAGAAAGACCTGCATTTGGCTCCTTCTTCAACCAACCCTGACACCGCTATTATTTTTTCATCAATTTTTCAACTCTACATTAGACCTGTAAAAGCCTTTTTCCGAAGTCATTAAGGTTTTTAGAAAAAAAGAAAACAACACTAAACATGGGCGGTTAAAGGTTTTTTAATTTATTCATCACAGAGTTAAAGTGACTGACTGACGATTCATGGTCTGAAAAACGAGAAAAGAAGTTTTGATTTATGTAGTGTATTCTGCATAGGTTACTTTGTGTAATGAAAAATGTCCTTACTGTTTTTCAAAAATGCATTAAGAGTGGTAAAAATGATTTTATGCTATGAGAATTGAGACAAGTCGACTGAGAAAAACTATAAAGTCACTTCTATTGTAGCTTTGAAAATTGGATAAACAACACTGGATGTATTTGGCTCACTTAACTCTTTAAAAGAGAGTTTAAGAAAATATTAAGTGCTCTGAAGAAAGAAATGTGCCAATAAAAAAACCAAACAAAAGTATAACTACAATAGAGTATTGCGCTAACATCTGTGCCGCTAACTTCATAGACCTGGGAACATGCTTCCATCTGCTGGCAAAGATAAGTTACTGGCAATATTTTCTCCTGCTATAAGCATAACCCAGTGCCCAGATTGTGCAGAAGGGTGGCATTAATAATATGAAAAGCAATGGATGTGGATTTTTACAATTGCATTCATAAATGCAATGCCAAGAATGGATCTGATTGGTCCTACATCCCTCCTGTATCAATATGACAAAAGCAAAACATGCCACAGACATGCCAGTGAATATTTTGGTCTAACTCCCAAAAACTTGCATACGTCATTGAGCTGACGGTACCATGGGAGGAAGCAATTGAGGAAGCGTTTAAGCATAAAAAGCTGCGGTATGCCAACTTGGGAGCTGAGGCAGAGGACAGAGGCTGGAAGATCAAGATGCGCCCGGTGGAGGTGGGATGCAGGGGCATTGTTGCCAGTACAACAGCAAAACTGCTTAGAGAGATTGGGATCAGAGGACAGGTGCAACAGCAGGCTATAAGAGAATTAGCTAACGCTGCTGAGAGGACCAGTCACTAGCTATGGCTAAAAAGGGCTGACATCACTTGGGCAGCTAAGGCAGTTAGCTAACTGTGAGAGAAAAGAAAATATTCCGCTCTTCTCCCCTCTGCTCTTCTTCCCTTTTCTGGGAGGCAGTAGGGAGGTAGAGCATACAGCCCGATCCGGCGGGGAGGTATGGGAAGCCAGATCGGGCGCCCCCCTTCCGGCTCTCCTCCCTCCTATCTCCTATCTTACTGTAGAAACGGTAGAAAACTAAACAGAAGAAGGAAGAAGAGAAATAACAATTTGACATAAACCAGTGACACACTCCGGGTCCTGATCAAACCTGGCAGGGCCTCTTTGGATGAGAGTGTCTAGTGATAATGGTCGAAACACCCGATGAATCCAAGGTCCACTACTGATGATGTGTCCCAAATTTTAATATGATAATCTAGATTAGATCTCCAATCCCTAAACCTAACCAAGAAAGAAAAATGGCAGATTATCTTGGGTAAAGACCAAAAGTTCAGCCACACAACGATGTGAGCCGCTAGTAAAGTTTCTGGGCTGCCTTTCCTCATAAAAGCCATCCCTCAAGATTCTCTCCATTTAAAGCAATGCATTATCAGAGACTGTAACATCTAGTCCTTTTACTGATTCAGCCATAACTAGAGGAAAGAGTCCTGAAACAAAACCCTCTTATCAAACAAGAATAAATCACTTTGTGATTAGATAAAGTGACAATGGAAACTTGGGCAGGTTGGAATAAGTGACAAGTGGGGAACAAAAACAAAAGTTTAATTTTTTTCTTCTGCTCTTGTTCCTCAGACTTCAAGTGAAGTTACTGTTCTGCATCTCACTCGTTCTCATTTCCCACCTCTGCCCCTCAGACTGTTTCTGCCCATTGTTATTAACCTTCCACTCCTGCTTGATGGCTACACGCTCTGATGCGACTCATGTCGGAGCCTGTGCTTCATTAATAATACTTTATATATAATACATATATAATACTA